TTTTATTATAGTCTGAAGTTCTCCATTAACAACCTAGCATTAGATTATTCATTTTTTTTATTTTTTTATTGATAATTCTTAAAAATGTCTTTAAATATTGATTTATTATTTAATTTAAATTTTATTTTATTTATAATAATTTAGTGCATAAGAGTAAAGAGTTATTTACTACAAAACCAAGTTGTTGCAGAATTTAGAGCATAACAGAGCTAAGCTATTGTAAACTGAACTATTACAGATTATAATGATCCAAATTACTAAGATCGAAGCAATATAAGACCAGATTTTTGTAAAAATATATCATTACTAGCGATACATCATTCCAATGACGCTATAAATTTGTCATAATATGCTATAACTATATTGAATAATTATAACACATTTGCCATAACTTTTAATAATTATTTAATATAGTTACAGCATATTATAACGAAGTTATAGCATCATTGGGATGATTCACCTGCACCCTAATCATTACAGATACAATAATATCTAATTTTATAATAGAGTTTTTTTAATTATAAATTTAATTTACCAGCCTATTAATATTATGTTTTTAATGATTCTAGTTTACTTTGATTAACCCAAACTTATCTTCTATTTAGGTTTAATTTTTAATTCAACTCTTAGAGCAAAATTAAACTGGATTAACTATCAATATCCCTATCTATAAGTGTTACCCTGATGGGTTATTTAATAAAAAATTACATTAAAGATTCTTCTTGATTCTTTAAGAATTGTGATAGATCAATATGAGGTTTGGTCTAGAGATGCGAAAAAACTACGTGATACTAAATCATCATGCATTATATCTTATACTTATCGCATATTGTCACATAGTTTCAAAACAGCCCCGTATTTGGTCCAGGGCATGTTGGCGGAAGACGAGAGCACATATGTAGTCAAGAAAATAGGAGGTCGGGTTAGTAAAGCAAAAAGTTGCAGTAAAGATCAAAAATGTAAAGTGAATAGCCCACGTGATAGTGATAAGGATAGTTATAGCAAGAATAGAGGAGATTGAATTGAAGTCAAGTTCATCGATATGGTATGATTGTTATTAGTATGATATGACAGTATAATCAATGCAAGTTAATTATCAATAAAAAAATAAAAAAAATGAATAATCTAATGCTAGGTTGTTAATGGAGAACTTCAGACTATAATAAAA